ATAAGATGATTATTCTAGACACAAGGAATATGGGCCAAAAGAGAGTGATGTATTCGGAAGAGAGATTGAATCCCAAGATTGTTTTCTATTCAGAAATAAAGCGGAGGCGCTATGTGATAATCTATGTTAAAAACTCCAAGTGACATATTTGAGTCCAACAGAAACTATGAACAAGTCTCAGTTGGAAAAAAAATGGAAAACTCACTTTAGAGTGAATTGTCACCAATGCACTCAGTTGACTACTTTCCGCACCTGGTTGTGCATCGACTGAGACGAATTTCATCGAAATGTCAGTGGCTGTGATCAGAGTAAATAATTAGAAGGTAAAAGTGAGTGGTTTGAATGGTTTATAACTAAAATCGCTTAATTTGCCATTGGAGATCGATCGCAGAGTTGTGAGAGATGGCGCATAAATTGCATTTGACACAGTGATAGATCAGTCATACCAGGATAAATTTGGTTACCTAGCGGATGTGTACAACGGAATAGGCTATTGCAACTGGAGGTGTCTGCATAAATAAAGTTCGAATGATACTACTTAAAAGCGCCTACTTAATAAGAGGACACCAAACATAACCTAATAGTTTGGCGTGGGGATTATAGTCATGCATCTCTGGGACAAAACGTCACGACCTCAATCAATAAATATGCCCTGATACGGATCATGAATGAGTGTAACAAATGTTAACTGGATCTCAAGCATTTCGGTGTTACATAAATCAAAGACCATCTTGTTTTCTTACAAATGAGCTAACTCACTCAAATGCGATAAACTCGTGTGTGTGGACAATTGTTAGTTGACAGTGAACACAAGGGATGGGGTTATTTGTGTTCGGAAAGAATTTCCACAGCAGATGGTATTGTGCTAATCGATACGGCAAGTAAACGCGAGAGATGTCAGCTTTAACCTGATTCTGGTATGTTGCATAATGATTACTGTATTCCGTAATCCAATACAGACTAAAGTACTGAAGGTTGTTGGAACAGACAATCGGCCAAAACCGGATTCGCTAAAGTGGGAATGATGAGATCATTCACATGTTTTTTGTGACCTTACCCTTGGTTGAATCCAGTCGAAAAGTTAAATTGGCTGAATATATCCACCCCAAACACTGTATCAAGTTCCTGATCGAACATAGAGACCAGTCAAACGCTAACCAGAACGCTAACGTCTCCAGTGGCGCGTTCGAAAACCACATATGTGCATGATCCTAAATTCCTCAGGGTCACTCAGTAAAAACCACATTCAGAAGCAATCAGGGCGAAGAGGTGAATAATCGGGTTTTAAAACAGGGGTGTATTTTTCCACTTGACTCTGATTCATGATCCACCTTCAATAATCTGGAATGTGGTTTTAAACTTTTCTCCCTTCAAGACAGGGAATTCTTTGTCTGATAATTGACACAGTGATCTCCCGTTATTATTATGAATATAAATGACAATCTCTGAGACAATTATTCAGAACTCAGTTCCCGGTTTACGGGATAAACTGATGATTGGGAGTGAAAATGGAATCCGAAGGACAATCAATCAAAATCAGTAACTGTAAATGGGATTCATCGTTATTTGCTGTTTTATAAGACTATTTAATTGACCAACAAACACCCGATGTCCATCCCCCACAGCTTGTCCGTTCCACATACAAAAACAGCCCGTTCGTATGAATGACCGAACAGGTTAGCTGGCAGTTCAAAAACCAACACGGTGCAGCCAAAAAAACAGGAATACAAATCATACAACAGCAAAATGTTTTCATCTTTGACCCAAAAGGTGACTGTTTTTGAGTGAGAAAGGGAGAGAACAAAAAAACACGGTGAAATGTTGAAGTTGAAGATCAGGATATTTAGGTTATCCTCACACTGATCTGAAAGTCATTTGTTTGAGTCACACTATCATCAGTGTTAGCAAATCATACCCCCCCCCTTTGGTTGTGTCTCGTGAAAGCCATTTGAGTGACCGTTTTCCTCATTCTGAAATGTTTCTATACCTTTGACAGTGTTGCGACCTTCCACATCTCCAAAATCCAATGGCATATCTCAGCCACTAACCTTGCACGTAAGCATACACCTCTATAGATATGTGTCTACCCCACCGCCTGATATACCATGTTCGGCTGATAACAATGGATCATACTTGCTCAATTTATGTCTCACTGTTCGCCAGGTAATATTCCTCTTTGTTACCACCAAAGTAGTGTAATTTCTGCCCAAGTATCGGACAAGCAAAATGACCATTTAAAACGTATATCCGGAACAATATTTCTATCAGAACAAATGTGATTAAAAAAGAGTAAAATGAGCTGACGGAATGCGGCATCAATTATATGATAACCTCCTAATTTCGTAGGAAATCCTGAGCTGATACATTTNTGGCTGATTACTTTCAACAATGCACCTATCTGAGTGTGGATTTTAAATTCGATATTGCGCATCGCTGAAATCAAATCGTTCCATTGAGCTACTCATCCAGTACATGCTACAGTGATAAGCTAATTCACACCAATTGAGGTTAAGTTGTAACATTATCACTTAACTATTGCGAACTGACTTCAAGTCATCTCATTCGTCAAATAAAGGTCGTTGAAAACCGGGAGTTGCACCCAAATTATAAGTACAATGGAACTTCTCGATTTTGGTTCCACAATGAGAATATTAAAACGCTTGTTTATTATACGGTAATCACAGCAGCCAAGATTGATCAGAAAATGTGAAAACGTTCGATGAAAAAAAATCATCCATGAATATTCCAAATGGTTAATAGAAATGGGAGCAAGGAATTCGTTTTCAGCCAATACAGACACTCACACTCGATTTCGCCTTGAAGTTGATTCACCATGCCGGCTGCGATCGCCAGTTGCTTGTCCTCGCTTCCGTCCTCCGACTGGAGGAACACCGCGTACTGATCTGAGGAGGACGGATCTGAGACCTTGAATTGGACAGCGCAACCGCTCTCGGTACGCTTGACGGTCACTTTGTCCGCACCGACGTCTGCTTCGCACTCAGTCGCTTTAGCCCAGGTGAGATGTATGTTCGGCGGGAGAGGGGGTGTCGGGGCGAGAGACAAACGGAGAAGTATTAAACAACCAGCGGAAGGGAGAGCTATGCGTCAAGGTTGCATGAGTGAGAATCATGGAGCACAGCATAAATCGTAATGCAAAGCAATCAACAGATATCTGTATAGATTCCTTTGGATTAATAGCGAAATTGGGCAGAGTTTTGTGACGGCCAGATGAGGTCAAAAAGGACCTATGACTGGGCTGATATTCATTTATCATTCACTGCTAGTGAGCGCGTGACTGTACGAAGCCGAACTACTAGGTTGCTAGAAAATACAAAACATAGTGAATCCCCATGAATAAGGACTCTGGGGATGGGGGAAGGTGCAACCATTAAAGTTTATAGCACACAAGTGAGCAAGCTAATCCAAACTGACAGTCATAACGATACTACTTAGAATACCTGTAAGCTGCACCGGAGTATTCAGACAAAGTAGCAATTATTTTTTTGTTTCATTTGCTCTTACACTTACACAGGTCAGTAACTTATTAATGCCAACTTTTGCTCACTTTTTTTGAGCCCGTCTGCAAGTAATAAGTTATCAGAGTAGGGAAAGTTTAAAATCAGTTACGTGTATTGTACGCAGCCCTGATTGCGCATAAACTGTCAAAATATGAGAAAACGCAAGAAACAAAACCTTTCCATATTTGATGATGTTCCCAGACGGCGATAAACGGAAACACAAATGACCTGTGAAATCTCTATTGCAAACGAACTAATGATTATCAAAGTATCACACAGTCCTATTAGTGCATGCCAAGATACAGATTCCGAAAAACGTAGTGACGGCCGAGGCGATTGATAGAGGGGTTTTGGAACCCATGGTCAGTTAAAAACAACTGGATTCTAGCCCGAGAACTCGTTTATGGCACACTGTAATGAGTTATTAATTTCTGCAATACATGTGACAATCAGCAGCGGGGCTCGGTCCTTAACTGCACTCCTATCGACGGCTGACTGAGGAATTATCTGATTAATCAACAAACTGATTTCATTCCTTGCCTCTGTTCAAGTCTAGTTCAATCAGTATGGTTCAGATAAGTTGAGAATGAAATCCTGTGGATATATATATATATATATAATCAATCAAGAGTTTGGAGTCATCTGTTACCGCCCACGGCATTTCGTAGACACGAAGTTCTGTGACCTGCTTTTCTAGTGTGGGTCTTTCTCTTTGAGAGTTCAGTAAGGCTCCACACGTGAATACCTTTGATATACGATGTAATGGCGGGATGACTAACATGGAGCGGTAGATAATAGTTTCACCTTCGTTGAGACTCATCAGCAACACGTAATATCCCTCCCTTATACTCGAACTCGAATCGCGAACCTGGTGACTTTGAATTTGTAGCAACCCAACAGGGAAATTCTGAATTCAAATCGTGTAGCTCTGTTTTCAAGTGTTGACTGTCGCTCAAGTAGCTCAATGATTATCGGTGGACAAGATCGATAGACAATCGGTATTCCCGTGGGGAATTAACAACACATTGAATGGAAAGAAGAGACAAAAAACAGATAACAAATAAAACCTCAATTTCCTGCGGAAGAACAGACAATGTCATTTTTGTATTGTCGAACTAGGCACACAATTTCTATTCCAAGTGTCGCATTACATAATCAATTTTTCTGCTTCAAACCGACCAGACAATGCGGTTAGTTTCAAATGAAATGGAATTCAACTGTCCTGTGTTGTTACTACGTGCTAATCAATACAGCAAGCAAATGCCAACGGTCTAATTCTGACATTTATTCTAGTTGATCCCGTTCGTTTATTTTTGAATGCTCACTTACGCTTATAAATGGGGACAGATTTCAAAATTGGCAATACCCGCGAACATAAAATGTATTCTTCAGTAAAAGAGAACCTTCCTAAAATCGGTCAACGAAGCGTTACAGCCATTCACTGACAACCTTCCCCTGAGTGATTTTCATAGAACTACCTGTTTTTGATCTCGTAAAATATCGTTCTGATTTACGTGGTGGACTTTCAAACATGGTGCTCCACAGAACTAATCTGAATGCCCAGGGCAGAACAAAGAATGAATAAATTTCAACTGCGAAAGTCCCCTTGGTCAATTATGTGACATTTATTCCAGTTTTGTTTAAGAGAACTGGAGAGCAAGTTCAGCGCAGCAATGCATATCACTTTTGTACTCCTGGAAGGTACCGCAGAACCGCAACCGTTCCTTATCTCTCCTTGTCCTTATCCCCCAGTTACACAATGAACTGTTAACGTCTTGGGTAAATGGTTACCCATTTGAGGAATTTCCTGGACTCTCAGCGAGTGACATCTACACACCCGAAATACGATACACCGTGTACGGTGCCTGGTGTTCGTGAAATTCGGATGGACCAATGTGCGATTAGCATTTCAAACGTCATTCCCTTTGTTCACAACAGCTGACTATTCAACAGGTGTGTCACCGGGTTAGAAGAAAGTGAGAGCGCACGTGCTTCTCACGTGAGTCAGGCAAGCGTTTGATACAACAGGTGTTTCTACGGCTTATCACTGAGTTTATCAGTGGGCTGGCATGGGTCACTGTAAAGCCATAAACTACACATTTGGGACCGTCCGAGTTGAAATCCTTTTATAATTTTGTGCATCCTACCTCTCATTCAGGTGATTCGAATTCGAATGGGATTTATTGCGTGCCTTAATTCTTTGTCGTAGTACAAGATTGGAAAGAGTTAGCTGATTAACCTCGTAACAACTCTAACTGACTGTAAGTTCGTATTTCCGTACACATTTCACACCGGATTACACCTGTTCATAAGAGGCAGGGGATCACTCGCTTGCTTGCTTGCTTACTTCGTGCCCTCACTGTGAGTTCGAGAATCCCGGCATAAAAACAATCCAATCTGACCCGAATCAATCCCCATGTACCGGCCTCAAACAAGGTGAGGCAAACCGAACAGATTTGTCTTCAAATTCCTCGGCGGAAAAGGACCCAAGGTTGAATGATCAGAGCGTGAGAAACACGAGGCATGAACCATGAACGGGAAAGCAATGGTTCCGGTCCACATAATGTACACGTGTGTGCAGAGAGGAGGTGAATCTTGTTCCTTTCCTCGCTTAGTTGTGAGTGAATCACGGTAGGGCCATATTCGACCAATTTCCTCACCCCACCCCACCCCACCCCTCCGTCTTGCACCCCGATTAGGGTCGATCAGTTTCAGCTCGGCCTGTGACTCGAAGTGTATCTGATGTGGGATCGGCATACATCATACACAGGCAGGAACAGTTGCGGTATGATCGAGACTGGTTTCAATCCCCACTTCGATCGGTCTGTGTGACTGATGTGCGGTGGGATCAGTCCACTAACCGTTTGTCTCAATCTCCTTACGATCAACCTGCGGCTCTCTGACCCCAAGCCCAAATTACTTTCCGCTACACAAATCGGGTTGCCCAGGCTGGATGAGACGAACGATGGCTACACCATGATCGTCAAGGTGTTTGTATGCCGTTCGAATCGATTCAAATGATCACACGACATTTTTCGACTAATTATAGGTGCAGTTAGTCGTTGAATTAGTACAGTAGTTCCGTTCTGATCTGCAGGAACGATCAAACAATTGGATTATTAGCTATATTTATTACCAGATTAGGTAAACGCCAATAGAAGAGATGATAGTTGATTTCCGAGAATTGAGAAAGACAGTTAACGGTGGATGTTCTCTCCTATTTTCCCCATCATGTGTAGCTAATAGTTTTCTGCTTGCCTACTTACGGATAATTTTGATGCCTCCAGTGTAGGCCCATGTCGTATGACAACACACTTCAACCCGGAATACATAATTATCATACTTGGGTATCGAAGTACCTGTCTGTACCAATGCTATTTAAATAAAACAAATATATGGTTAGTTGTTATGTATGGATTATTAGTAAGCAACATCTTCCTGTTATTTGTATTTCCTAAGGCAGCCTTTGTATTGCCGCGAACCCTTTTGTGAAAGCTTATTGTACATTTCGATAACCAGTACACAACAATGGAAGTAAAAACACCTTTTTAAATTGCAAGGAACCAACCAAGTGATTAGGAAAAGCTTTATCGGTTTATTTTGTTCCAACCAGAAGCATGATTTACCACTAGTTGTATGCATGGTGTCTGTTTTTGCAATGTTAGAGTTATATTTGTTTTTTTAATTTTTTATTACACATATTTGTGTGATACGCAGCAGACCGGGTGAACTTCATAGTCACGAAGACCTACCGTTCACTGATGAAAACCGGTAACCGACGCCCCAGAGCATTGGAGTGGTGAACCACATAGGTTGGGCGAGCTGTTGAACCGGACGCCAATGAAGCGGTCCTCCGCCAAAGTTGGCTGACCGTGGCAAGGTTTAAACCTCAAAACATAAAGTACAAAGCACACCAAGGACAGCTACTAAACCGCTTCACCATTGCCATCCATTAGCTTAGTACTTCCTTTCAAAGTCGCCTGAGAAACAGCGGTTAACTTGTGTTCGTTCACTCAATACAACGTAAGAAGTCAAGTGAACTTTAATGATATAGTCGCTGTCACCGGCTTGCTTTGGAACCTGTGGTCCGATGTTCGAACCCCGTCACTGCCAGCCAACTTTGGTGACAGGCAGCCTTTCTGTCGCTCGGTTCTAAACCACGCCTAAGCTAGCTATTTGGTTCGCCACTCCAATCCCCGGGTCTCAGGTAGCCGGTTGCAATCACTGAACAGCAGGTCTTCGTGACTATCGGGTCCGCCCCGACTGCTATTGACCACACAGTGGTGTGTAATAAAAAAAATAAAGCAGTCACAAAGAATGTATTAGTCGTCATAACAATTCCTCATGCCTCCTTCCCTATTGTAACCAACACAACTCTACTGTCCCATATCTCTATGCAATGAATAATGGAATGGATAACTCCATAGTCACGAAGACTTACTGTTCGGTTATGGAACCGATGACGTCAGTTGCGAACTACATGCGGCTCCGGCTGAGGTTGCATTGAGTTGGTAGGCATTGATACTGTTGTCTGGTACCAAATTTGGGGGGTAGGATTCAAACTTCGGTCTAGGAGGATG